AAAAATATTGTTTCCAATAACTGCAGGTTTAAATAACTGATGGGCATTTGCATGAGTTTATTAAAGGAAATGAAAATTGAAATTGAAAATTCGAATAAGTGCCAGTTCGAATAATCGGTAGTTAACTATATATATATATATATATATATATATATATATATATATATATATATATATTTATATATGTATATATTTATTTTTAAAAATAATACAATGTTTTTTATTCTTAAAATATTTCGTAAAACTTATTTACATTTTCAAAAGATTATTTTACAATAATAAAGCTCTGAAAAAAAATTAAAAATAAAAATAGAAGTCTTTACAGAAAAAATGACGAACAAAAATTTACATTATAAACCAATATATTTATTACAAAATAACCAACTCTAAAAAATATATATATATATATATATATATATATATATATATATATATATATATATATATATATATATATATATAATAAACTGATAGTAAAATTAAATAGTTAAGTTTATAGCATATGAAGTTTGTTTATTATTTGAGGAACTTCCCCATTTATTGTGGCGGACTTCTTTTATCTTTAATTTGTGTTTTGTTGAGGCATTATCCAAAATCTCAAAAGAATCACAGTTAGCCAGATTTTTGAAAATATTAGATAAATTTAAGTGTTTGAATATATGAGATTGTTTATCACTTTTAAGGTGCTCGTTTATTCTGGTTGCCAAATGTCTGGAGAAACCACCAGATGTTTGGCAAACATTTTTTCAGAGTTTTATTATTGTAAAATAGTCTTTTGAAAATGTAAATAAATTTCACAAAATATTAATAAGTGACCAGGGCCTTGGGCACAGCTAAAAATGAGACTTTTTGCTAACCTGGCCCTGTCAAAATTATAAGATTTAGAATCAGTTGATAGCCGGGGCTAGAAAAAAATTTATAATACTTAATATATTCTAATTTTATGCTTACATTTACTATTTATTAAGTACTGGCATATATTTATATATTTTAAAATCTAATTTACTTCCAACAAGATTGCAAGCAACCACTATTAAGTAATAAGTTACTTTCAAATAGAGAGCCAGTTAAAATACTAGGAAACCTATAATTAAAAACATTAAAAGTTGTATAAAAAAAGAAAATATGAAGAGTTATAAGATTTTTTTGATGCTCAAGGAAAAAAATTGAATTTTTTATCATGCTGTAAAAAGATTTTATAGCATGAAGGGACAAATACAGTTAAAGGATGCGACTTGTTTAGTAAATAGCCAATTGAGAATGAGTTTTGGTTTATCGTTATAGAGATGATAGTTTGTTTGAGCATTGGCTATGCTTGTATTTGTAGAAAAAAGAAAGAAATACAACCTTATAACAATGGGAGAGTGGTCCAATCTTGGAAGATAAAGCTGATCTTATTACATTTACAATATGCTTTTAGACTTTGTCTGAGAGTAAGAGGTTGTTATTTGTCAATATAGGAATGCCAACAATATTGTAATATTTTTTTGCAGTTAATAAATGAGTTTAGTTGTCTAACAAAAATTGTGCAATTCAAGTCCAGAATTTAAATCCATAAGCGACAGCAAGCCTTAAGCTTTTACAGAAATGAGGTCAGATATAAAATGGGCTGCTTGTTCTAAGCAATTAAAGATGGTTTTTTATCAAGACAACAGTATAAAGTGGAGTCATCTGCAAATAGAGTCACTTTAGATTTCATTATGATTGTTATTGTAGATAAAAAATATTACAGGAGCAAATATAGAACCTTGTGGTTCTCTTAAAGTTACTTAAAATAAAGAAGAGGGTAGGCCTTCAAGATTAGCATTACTAATGCAGTTAGAAAGAAATAAGTTAATAACCTCAAAACTTTTACATAGAAAACTATAAGAAACTGATAACAGAGTGAAGAGTAATTGTAGGATACTTGAAGAGGTCAAGGTGTTTTCTAGAGTTTTGAAAAATTGGAACCATGTATTTAGCACTTTTTAAAAGTTTAGCAAAAACTGTTGAGAGTTTTAAAAAACACTTTTTTAAGACTGATGAAAATCATGTCTGAAGCACAAACAGTAGAAGTGTTTAATTGAGAATTAATTTTAGTATTGGAAGCCAGAGTAATTTCGATGTTCAACAATGGATTATTCTGTTTAACTGTCTGGGAGAGTATGTCCATTATATTTGAGAGTCAAACTAGAGTAATATTTCTTTGTAAATAGCTCTGCTTCACTCTGGGGTAAACGTTAGATTTACTTGAGTTAATAACACTGTTGAAAACTAACCAAAAGTTTCTAGAACCTAACATTTAAGATATGATACAAGGTTTAGTAAATTGAGAATAACAGAGATTTACATCAGACAAGTGTTTATTTATACATTTGCTTATTGTCATAATAAAAAGGACAATTTGTTTTTAAGAGAGATGTTGTTATAAAAAAGATGAAAAAAATGATTAATGTTGAAAGATGTAGAGTAGAATGAGGCTTGACTTAAAACTGAAGAGAAGTAATAAAAGCTTCCAAACTTTTATTCCAGAAGCAATATAAGTCTCCAAGATGCACTTTTTGCACACACAATATGGATATAATCATATCTGTTTGCTATTTGTTTAGATGCTGGCATACACTATCCTTTCATTACATTATATACAGTTTAGTATTTATATGGTGTAGTATTTGCCAAAAGAGAAGATGATCAGATGGATGTGTGGTGTGACTCTAACAAGAAATAAAAAGGAGGCATAATCCTAGACAGATTTTTTTTTAGAAAAGGTTAAAGTAACTTAGGTATCAACATTTAGAGTGTTAGCAACTTTATTATACAATGATTGTTGTAGGAGTAAGAAAATTTGAAGAGTTTGCCTTACATATTGTATAAATGAGCTTTAGTTAGGAATAAAGGTGTGCTAGATTGTTTATACTAAGGAAACGGCTTAAAAGAGGAAAGATAAAGCCTTATGGTGATGATGATGATAAATAAAGCTGATGATCATGAACATGATGATGATCACCATCGTCATAATTTTTCTTATCATCGTCAAGCATTTTGCTTTTATGCTCTTGATAATGATGATGATGATGATGATCACGTTGATCACAATGATGTTCATATATGCATATATATACAAAATATAACATGAATTTTAAATTTAAAAAAGTAATTTAGGATATAAAAATGTTTATGCTGCACTGGTCACAAACCCGGCCCCGGCTATTTTTTTATCAAACCTGGCCCCAGTCAGGGGTTACATATGCTATTACAACGATCTATATATATATATATATAAACATATATATATATATATATATACATATATATATATATATATATATATATATATATATATATATATATATATATATATATATATATATATATATATATATATATATATATATATATATATATGTATATATATATATATATATATTTATATATATATATATATATATTTATATATATATATATATATTTATATATATATATATATAAATTATTTATATATATATATATATATATATATATATACATATATATATATATATATATATATATATATATATATATATATGTATATATATATATATATATATATATATATATATATATGTATGTATATATAAATTATTTATATATATATATTTATTTTTACTTTTTAAGTTTAATAATGATCATTCTAATTCAAGAACATTTTTTTAAACATTTGCTATCAGACTGCTAATGATACAAGTTTTATTTTTTAATTTAGATTTTGTATATCAATTTTATTCTGGCCTATCGATACGATATCCTGTAAATCACACACATAAATCTTTAAAAAAATGTTTATATTTTATCTATATATCTATAAATTGTATATTTTATATAAATAAATTGTATATTTTTAAATATTTCATTGTATATTACTGTTTGTATTACAAATCGATTTTAGAAATATTACAAGTACAGAGTTCAACATACAATTTAGTTTTATTTTCCAATTCAATATATATCATAGCCAAGTTTAATTACATTTAATAACATTTTGCGATGTTTTCTCCAGCGCATTAAAGCGTTGATTCAACGTTATATTTCAACCTTTACTCGACGTCTTTGAGTCACGTTAAATCGACGTTTTACTGCCAACGTTAATATTCTTGCAAAATCGACTGCTTTAACAACGTTACAGTAACGCTTTTCAAGTAACGTTTTTTCAACGTTAAATTGCGACGCTTATGCAACGCTTTTTAAGTAACACTTTTTTAACGTTTAGTTGCGACTAATTTTTATAACGTCTTTTAGTAACGTTTTTTCAACGTTACGGTACAACGTTTAATCAACGACTCTTTAACAACGTTGCATATCTTTGCAAAATCGATTACTTTTTCAACGTTTCCGCAACATCTTTTGCGACCGGTTTTCAACGTTGATTCAACGCTGACATGTTTGCTGGGGGGATGCATACAAAAACGTTTTAATATCATGGATAAAAAAGGTACTAGTTACAAGACAAGATTTTTAACTTTAAATCATTAAAAAAAAGTAAATATTTTGGCTAAGGATATTTTTATTTTTTTCAATGCTGCATAATTAAATTTATAAAATTTTTAAAAAAAGTTTGTTTTTTTTTTATCATTTTTACATTTATTTTGAAAAATAAGCTTCCAAAATCTTACTTTCTGTATTAAAAAAAAAACTCCCCAAAATTTAAACTGTAACTTGATACAGCTTTTCCATATACTTTTTGTTTTTAACATTTCTGTAAATTACTTAGAGCTAAAAAGTATACAATAAAATATATATTTTTTTTTGATTTGCGTTTTTCTCATTTATGTTTTTTTTTAACTTTTACTGTAACTTCAAACAATATATTGTGAAAAATAATTACGCGATGTCTTTGAAATTTTCACTGCATGTTTACCTAATATATATCAATGTCATTTATTAAAAATTAAAAACAATTAACTTGAATCTATAAAAGTAGTTTTTGAAATGTAAATAAAAAGCTATACCATCGAGTCATAAACTTAAATTAAATAACTTACCTTTAAATTGTCATCATTATTAAAGTTATAAACAATTTCTACAGTCAACCATTGTCTTGTTTTTGTATCACATATCCAAGAAATTTGCCCAGAATGCTTAACTAGACTCATAAAAATTTTTGAATTAAATACAGACACTATCAAGTTATCAGATAACGTTATAACATCTGCAGCTGATTTAAGCACTTTAATGTCAAAACTAAGTTGCCAGTGTTTTTCTAGTGGTTAATTTAGATGCATTTCATGACCTGATGAAAATTTTGAATCTCCAGGGTATATAAATTGCTGCTCTAAATCTAAAATTAAAGAAGAAATCAAGTCTATTACAATTACATAAAAAAACTTTTATAGATCTAATAATATATTTTTTATAAACTATATGTGTGAAAAAAAAAGGAAAGTAGGAAATTGTTTAAAATTTTAATATCTGTTTGTAAAAAAAGTAAATCAGGTTTTTGTTATGCAATTAGCCTCATTGGTAAATCATTGTTTTTGAAAGTTATTATTAACTATTATTAATTTTTCAATAAAATTTTTTGAACAATTATTAACAGTTAATAACATAACAATAAAATATCTTTTTTTACTAATATATAAAAATATAAGTAAAAAAATATGTGTTATTTTTAACAAACATAATAATATAACTATAATTCATAATTTAAATTTATAAATATACAAACTTTATTTATTTTGAGAAGTATTGAAAAACCGGGAAGGCCAAAGATTTAAATTTAATGAGTGTTTGTATTAAGTGACTAATAATTCAAAGTAACAATTTAAACGTCTGAAACAAAATTTGTTGAAGATTTTTTTATATAGCAGTTTTACATCATTTCAACATAATTCAAAGTAACAATTTAAACGTCTAAAACAAAATTTGTTGAAGATTTTTTTTGAAACAGTTTCACATCATTTCGACGTTGTTGCTTTGACAATGTTGCATTCAATTTTGACATTAATGCATTTGATTTAACATCTTTGCATTTGCATTAATTTTTGACAGTAATAAGAATACTTTAATTAATATACAAATAAAACAGTTATATTATTTCTAAATGATCAAGCTTTTTGCAGTAGAACTTTTATAGTAACGATTTTATTCAAATAAATTTAAAATTTAATCTCATTAGCAGAAAATAAAAGTTTACATTAAGAATAAGTTAAAGTTAACTAACAAAATTAATAAACTCATTAACAAATATTTTGGATCACTGTTTTGGTTTATGCATTATCAAAATTATTCCTAGAATACCGTCTATCGCTAATTCATCTTGCACGTGTTTGTTCAACATCCTCTTCTACATTCGTATCCTGATTGTTTGATTTCGTTACCTGATTTGTAACCACAATAAACTTAGTATTTTAAATGTAAGTTTATAAATCAAAATTGGAATTACACCGAACAGCTTTACGTAGAGAGGATTTTCTGAAAGGAAGTTTCCAAAATTTCCTGTGCCATTCATGTTTATTGTTGGCATTAAAAAATTAGTAACGTCGCGACATATCATATCCAATGGTTTCTACTATCTCTGTTCCACCAATTTTCTTTAGCAAATGAAACTAAATTAATCTAAAATAAATCTAAAATAAATATTTATTTATTAAACCTCTTGACTATTGCAAAGATGAACACCTACTGTTACACAAGCATACTAGTGTTTACAAAATGAATTTAAACTATTTATAAAGCTCACAAAAAAAGTTCATGCAGCAGGACTTTCATAACGAGAGACCAACAGTTCATATTTTTTAATTGAGTCAATGTGGCTATCGACAATTTTTAAAACATCGGAGTCTATTGATTTGTTAGCATTTAGGAAGATAGATTGTTGCGAGCTTTTAAACTTCCTTGAATTAAAATAGCGCACCTGACACTCATTTAATATTTATTTATCGGTCGTTTTATTTTTAATTGTTCTAAGGAAGTGAATCATGAAAACGCATTTAAGTCTAATTTAATTATTTAGCCAATAAAAAATAATTTTCTATTAAGTTTTTTTATTTCATATTAATGGTTCTAGGAAAAAATCCTCCGTGGAAAAATCCTCCCGAAATAATCCCCTGAGACAAATCCCCCGAGAAAAAATCCTCCCGGAAAAAATCCCCCTGAGAAAAAATCCCCCTGGAAAAAATTCCCCCGATAAAAAATCCCCCCGGAAAATATTCGCCCCAAAAATATTTTTTTTTTTTTTTTACATAACAATTAACAATATTCAGTTATGTTTATTTCTTTATTTATTATAAATATTTATATTTGCAAGGGTGATGCCGGTTCTAAAATCTGGAGATGCAACATGTATTCCCAGCCGGCATTATTACGTTATTTCAACGTTGAAATTCGGTTGAAGCGTTGATTCAACGTTGTTTAACTATGTCACAAAGTTAAATCAACGTTACCGTTTAAACGTTGATTATTTAACGTTATTTCAACGTTAAATCAACGTTACAGTTTAAACGTTGATTATTTAACGTTATTTTAACGTCAATATTTCAATCATTGTTGACAAAAAATACGATATAAAATTTATGCGCGCGCAGAAATGGAAGTAAAATCGTAAACATTATTTCAACGATTAAAGTTATAGAGATTTATAATGGAAAAAAAATGTAAATACTGAACTTATATCATAGAGAATTTTCAAGAGATCAAAAACATATTCAGACGATTTTCCTAAAAGAACATTATCGTTTAAAAATCGATATTTTTCGTTTAACTTGGGCTACAATGCTCAATAACTGATATTATTAAATGTAAATATAATACAGCTTTTTCAAAAAATGATCCATTAAATTATGCTGAATTTAATGCTAAGCGTTGTTTTTTAATAGAGCATCAAGAATTAAAAAAGGAAATTGATAACTTTAAAAAAGAACTTCAGCACGAAATAAAAAAATAAAGATTTATTTGAAAAATTAACTTCAACCACATCAGTTATTACTATGAAAACAGACAAACTTGTATATAAACATAATCCAAACAAATCGTGTTATTGCAATTTACTTGTATACAAACATTTATTTTAAAAATAATAGAACTTGCGACTTTTATACTGGCCTTACATCTGTCAATGTGTTTCATCAGTTAGTGCAGTATCACCATTAATCAAAAGAGATAAAGTGATATTAAAAAAACATTTACTTCTGTTTTTTGAAATTTAAAAAAATCCTTAACTACTTGGATCAAAATAAATGTAATGCAGCAAAGATGAATTTTTAATAATGCTAATACTTGGATTATTGACAGCTGATTTTGCTGACAGGTTTAATATATTTTTAGGATTAGTGAATGCAATATTTTCTTCATTGTTGAAAGCTTCTAGCTCACTTTTAAACCACATGGTTTTTGTTCCAAGTAAAGATGTTATAAGACAGGCAATGCAAAACAGATTTTAGAAATTAAATTATTCAGGCTAACACTAAATTTCAGATATAACAGAATTTATTATGGAAACACCTTAAAATTTTGACTTACAGAAACTAACAGGGAATGAATACAAACATTACAACAATATAAAAACATTAGTACCCGTAGATCCAAATTCATCAATAATTTCGTTAAAAAATTTCTAAAGCTTACAGAAGCTAAATTTTGGATAAAAAAATTACATATCGCAACAACTATTTAGATTGTATTACAAAATACTCTTGTATAATGTATGATTAAGGCTTTAATATTAATTTTTTAATACAAATGAAGTGATTTTAATTAAATCCATTTTTATCAGTCACTTTAAAAATATGATGAGTATTTGTATAAAGATAATTAAAATTTCAAACAATAATATTAGCTTTACTTGTTGTTTTTTTTTAGGTGAATCAATTGCAATTGATGGAATATCTTTAAAATGCTGAGGTAATCAAAATAATTTTTAATTATTCAGGAATTTTAAGGATTAAATTATTTAGAAAAAAATTGTTTGATAATGAGTTCAATTTAAATTCCAAAAAAAAATTAATATTAGTTCTCGCACAATTAATATCAGTTCTCTTATCTATTAAAATTTAGAATATTTTGTAACAATTTTGTGACCTCCATAAATATGAAGGGGAAAGGTGGAAATATGCTTTAAGAGCACTAATTTATATGGTGTAGTGAAAGGTATACCTTTATAAGATATGTAAAACTTTTTTATTCTCATTTTTTATATATTTAAAAATTTCTCCTTGTTTTTTTTTTTTTTTTTTTTTTTTTTTTTTCTAATTCTTTTTTATTAACAGCTTCTTCTATTAAATACGATGGAGCGACTGAAACTTTAATTGATGGCATTTTGTCTAACTTCTAAAAATGCTCTTCATTTCGAAAAGGTGGCGGAAAAGAAAAAAATTTAGATTGATTGATATAAATTTATATTTATAAAAATCAATCTAAAATTTCTTTATTGAAATATTTATATATATTTCAATAAAGAAATATTTTCTTTTTGTCTGCTAATATTTTTTTTTTCAGTGTTAATTCAACATTACAAATTAAAACTCAATAATGAAAAAAGCCAAAAATTGAGTTGATGTTTTAAGTAAAATAAGAAAAGCCCAAAAAGTAACGAATGTAATATTTTTATTTTTTGATAAAAAAAAAATTCTAATAATGCTTAAAATTGGTATTAATATTAATGTTTATTAGATGAAGATGAGTAAAAAATAAGTAATGTTTATTAGATGAAGATAAGTAAAAAAATAAGTTATTTTTTGGTCTTGAAAATTGTTTGAATGATAATTTATTATTTATCAAAATATTTTCTTTTTTAATTTTTGTTGTTTTTATATTTTAATTAAAAGTAGATATTATTGTGTCATATATTATAATATACCTTATATTATACTATTATATTTTATATTAATAATGAGTATTTTTGTTTTTTTTGTATTTCTATTTTTTTTCAATATTCCATAATTATCTTATGTAGATGTTTATGTTTTAGCAACCTAGTATTCTTTCATTATTTGTCTTTGTTATTGAGCCTTAAGTTATTTGAACATAATATATTCAGAACTCTGCTGAATAATAGAGTAATAAATAAATTAATAAAAATGAGTTTAAAATATAATAAATTTATAAAATAAAGAAAATCTTATCTTTGCTTATAATGTCTACTAATATTATTGTTTAGCAAGTATCATGGTTATAAAATGTTCAAATTTAGCTAGTTTAATTAGGCCTGTTAGTACACTTATATTATGGTTTCTTTATTTTATATTAGTTCATGTAATTTTTTCAAAATCGAATATGCGGAAAGGAGCTGTTTGGAATGAAAATTTACAAGAAGAAGTAATTCCATCTGATTGGATTAGTGAT